CTTTGGACATAGACATCGTTGTTGGAGTTCGAGAGTTTCAGCATCGTTTGTGATTTTATTACATGCTGTATATTTTATGTCAATTTGAGTTTGTTAGTTACAAGTTTGTTTACATATGAGAGGACAATTGTTTTTGAGATAGTAAAAATAAAACTGTAAAAGTCCAAAAAATATCTCAGTTTTTCTATATAATTCAATATATTGAAGAAAGAATGAGGTATCTTGAGAAATAGGTTTAAAAAATTATGTAACGAGCTGGAACTGGAACTGAATGCCCAGCCGATAGCAAAGCCTAGTATACTGACCCTCTTAACACAGATTGAAGATAAAGGGTCCAGGATATTTCGTCATTGATTGAGAAAATCCAAATGGTGACAACAGATGCTGAAGAGTTCGAGAAGGAGTATGAAGAGAATGAAAAGTTTTGTGAGAATTTCATAATATATAGGTCGAAGTGCGAGTTTGCCCTAGTAAAAATACCGAATCAAGATATAGGAAATACCAGTATAATTGGAACATCAAATGTCAAGCGACATTTCAAATTGCCAAAAATAGAGTTGGAGAAATTTGACGGGGATGTTCGAAAATGGATTGGATTCTGGGGGCAATTTCGAAAAATCCATGAAGACACTGAGGTTGATAATGAAGACAAGTTCCAATATTTAGTGCAGTCCATGGAACCAGGTAGTGTAGCAAAAGCTTCAGTTGACAGTTTTTCCCCATCTGCAACCAACTACGAAAAAGCCGTTGATCAACTGAAAGCCAGGTTTGCACGAGACGAATTTCTTATAGAGGTTTACGTCAGGGAACTGTTGAATACAGAATTATTTTTCAAAATAAATTATAAAATAGGAAATTCCAAAGTTGAAACGCTAAAACTACAGAAATAATTCGATTACGATTTTCGACAGAATTTTTTTTAAGGAAAACAAGTCAACACATGAATTAGTGAAAACCGTTGATTCCAAATATAATAAGAGAGTTATATTTCACTCTCATTTATCATAACGACATATTCCATCAAATATGAATTACACTCCATTAGCTAGCTACCTAAATGAATTTCAAACTTTTTGTTCATTCTGAATGACCCGCACCTTAGCCTGCGGACATTTTGGAAAGGTCCATAATGCGTTTCCGTACACTACCCATATTAATATTACATGCACTGAAATTTCATGGAGTATAGGCAAACGAGTTTTCATTTCATGTTTCAAGTTGGTTCTAAAATGCCCTCAGGAGACTGAAATCCCGACATGTTCAACAGATTGTTGTGGAATATATATTCGAATATGATATTGTAATTTACAGGCAATTTTTTCGCTTTCAGTAAAAGGGGATGTAGAATAATATTTTTCGATAAATGGAAAAAGGATTTGAATGAAAAATAAAATCCATTCATTTCAATATCGCAATATCCTTTTTCTTCATTTTGCCCAGTGAATAAACCTATCCTTTACGACCGATAAATCGAGCATTACAGTAGCTGATACCGTGAAGTACTGCCTGGCAAAAGTAACTCTGGCCATTGAAGCCCTGAGTCTGGTTAAGATACGTTGAGGATACTTTCATAATATAGAACCATGGGAATGCTTGTACTAGACACTTTCCTGAAGCAACAACGCAAGTCCTTCCATCACTTTCACTGAATGGGAAACATCTATTTACCGAAAACCCACTCACACAGGACAGTATCCGAACCAGAATCCAACCACCATCAATCGACTAGAGAGGAATCATCAAGACTCTAGTGAACCATGCTTTCTGACTCTGTAACACATAAAAAGGTCTCGAAAAGGGACTAGGCATCGTCAAAAATGACCTTTAACGAAATGGTTACTCGAAAGTTATGGTGGAACAGACTTTGGCTAGAAGACAGCAAGAGCCTCACAAGGGAGAAGAGCCGTCATACTTCCCTACACCAGAGGATTGTCAAAAAGAATGAGAAGAATTGGGTAGAAGCATAACATTAGAATTTACTCCAGATCTGGGAACACTATACGTAGCAGACTCTCGAAAATCAGGCCACCAAACGCGGACTGCGATTCCAAAAATTGCATTTACCGGATACCCTGCAAGAGCGGAAAATCATACATCGGTGAAACTGAGAGGCCATTGAAAGTTCGCATTGCCGAGCACACACACAGAAAGGGAAACCCAGCAAATCCGGAATAGCAGAGCACGTTTGGGTTCATCAACATAACACCAAGTGGTCTCAAGCTGAAATCATCCACGAGGAGGAACATTGATTCAGGAGAAAATTCAAAGAAGCCGGATACTTGTTGTCTAATAACGCATTTAGCCAAGCTAGCGTAGAGATACGCAATATATGGAAACCTATAATCAAGCGGAACACGACCATCTCCCGCCGAACGGTCAGCTCCCGCTCAAACCAATGGGAGGGAGGGAAGAGGGATAGGTGAAAGCACTCGGATGATCTATGAATAGATCGAGATATCGGAGTTTTCCAGTTGTAAGAGTAAGGGAGCCAGACTCCAACGTGTTCGAAATTAAAATGGCTGTCGAAATAAGTCCAGTCATTACCCGAAGACGATTGTGGATACTAACAATCGAAACGTCGTGAAGTAACTTGGCTTGGAATCTTTTGATTTTCATTTCTTGTTGATAATTATTAATTTTCACCTCATGTTAATAGTTCAATTTTTATATTTTTTTGTATTATTTGTTGTGTTTGTATTTTTGTATTTCATTTTATTGGAATTTCAGTTTTTTTTGGTTAATAAAACTGTTATTTTTCAGATTTTTTTTTCAATTTTTCATAGATTCTTTCAGGAATTTCAAATCAATTTATATCTGTGTTTGTATTTTTGTATTTCATTTTATTGGAATTTCAGTTTTTTTTGGTTAATATAACTGTTATTTTTCAGAATTTTTTTTCAATTTTTCATAGATTCTTTCAGGAATTT